ATCAAGGTCTTTTAACAACCAGGATAGGTCATCATGCCTGTTGTAAATGGATTCACCAACCTCCTCTAACCATTCCTTGCTAGTCACTGAGAGTTTTGAATATTCTCCCTGCATTCGTCCCCAGGATAATGGTGACTATCTAGCTCCAGAGCTTTTTGCCTCTGATAATGCGGTTTCTGTTGTTTCATGTAGTAGTTGGTTGTTTATGTATCTTATTTTAGAATCCTCTGTGTGATTTTTAATTCCTCATAACATCTTGCATAGTAAATATTTATTGAATTCAATAAACCATTAGCTAGCAAAAATACATTATATATTTACACAGTAAATACATAGATTTTTTTAAAAAAACATTTAAGCCTCAAAACAATAAAGTAGATAATTGGATAAATATCTCAATTTTACTAAAATTGAGGAAAATTGGATTTAAAGAAGTTTGTCTTATATGAGAATTAAACCCAGGTCTTCTTACCCCTGGTGCCCTTATAAGTAGCAAAACAACTTCAAAGAGGGGCCTTGGAAGAACACTTGGTTTCACATTGCAAGGCGGATTGTTAGCTGATGCGTTACTTCTTGATGATTTGAAATGGCTGAGTGAGAGGATGGATGGTGGGGACCTAATATTTATGAATTCTATCAGCAGCTCAGAGTTAGTTCTAGGCGGTGGTTTACTTTAGGAAGATTTCATCCGGAAGGTTTAGTCGTTGGGCAGTTTGTTTGGGTCACTTGCTACTTTTAAGGACAATGGCTGGGCCAGACTAGAAATTCTTGAAATAAAGCCAGTGTCAGAGAGATGGAGAGGATCAACTTCCAGAAAAAGAAGGGCTGGTCCTTGGATCTAGAGCCATTCAGGACATTCAGAGCGTTAGGCACACAGCTTTCTAAGGTTTCCTAGAAACTGGGGACACGTGACAGGTAATTTGGGGGAAAGTTGGGACAGGTTAATGATGGGAAGGTAGACACACTTCCTTATTTTCTTTTTCTTCCTTTTTTAAAATAATCACAATCTAGTTGTCTTGAAGATACTATATTTTCAAAAGAAGGATAGCATTGCCAAGCTACAGTATAGGAACCTATCTTGGAAGAAAAAAATGTGAAGAGCAAAACAACTAACTTGCTTGTTTAAGAAACTATGTAGTTCATTTGGCCTCTGTGGTAAATGATTACACTATATTAACCTTTGTGTTGTTCATACAGTATTTTTCTTTAGGTGGCACAATAACATGGTTGTTAAGACATTATTTGCCAAGGCACTCTGCTAGGTACTTGATAGGCATGTCACCTCTGAGTCCCCAAAACAACCTTTGGAGGTAACAGTTTGAGTAAAGTGCTGATCAGAGGTGGGTTTTTTTGTTTTTTTTTTTTTTTTTAAGTGCCTTGCCTGAGGTCATGCTGGAAAGTGGGAGAGTTCCGATGCAAAGCAGAGGCCTCCTTGGGCCTAGGCCTTTGTAGGATGTGGATAGGAAGAAGTTACAGGTTACAGAGGCTGGTATGCCCTGGTTGTTTTGATACAGGGTTCTCCCATTCAAGGCTGGATAGGGGAGCCCAGTTTTTCTAGGCCTGGGCAATTTCCTGAAGGGAACTCCCTGACCTTTGCCCTTAGTTGGAGGGACTAACATTCATTCACTTGTAAAGATGCTCATTAACACCGAGTACTTGGCTATACCCTTTGACAAAGGAGTCCCACTTGGGTCTTTCCTCCTGCCAGTGGCTCTGGTGCTTTTCACTCCTGTATTCCTTTCTATTTAATAAATCTTATCTTACCACTGATCTGTGGTCTGTGAGTTCATTCTTCGAATTCCTGAGACTAAGGACCTCCTGCAGAAAGAAATTCTGGTAACAGTTTCACCTCAGCCAGCAGAATGTGCCTGTAGTGCTGTACCTTGCTTCTGAATGGACATAACACCTTAAAGGAAAGAGTGCGCAGGCGGCATTTTAAAGAACAACAAATCTTACTTGCAAAGGAAAGTAAAATTAGAAGCAATATCGATCTAAAAGTAAGAAGAATTGAGGCCTGGTCCTATTGTTCCATCACCTGCCTGCTGTTTCCTGGGCTGGTCAGTTTGTTTCCTGGGTGTCAGTTTCTTGAGACCCATCCCACCTCAGTCCTGCAGTTACTGACATTTCCACAGGATTTAGACTGTGCCTGAAAGTGCCTTCTTGTCTTTGTTTATGTTACCGGAATTTCTGTCTTCAGTAGGTCCTTAGTATCCTTAGTGTTCAAGGAATGAACCCATGGACCACAAGTCAGTGGTAAGGTAGGATTTTATTAGAAAGGAATACAGAAAAGCTAAAAAGCACCAGAGCTCCTGGCAGAGGAAAGGACCCAAGTGGGGAGTCTCTGTGTGGGCTCCTTAGCTAGGGATATTAGGTCTTGAGAGTTACACATGGCCAGGAAGTGGCAAACAGAAACACGTTTTCAACGTTAATGAGTGTTATGGACAAGTGAATGAATGCAACCCCTCTAACTCAGGGCAAAAGGTCAGGGCGGTCCCTTCATGAACTTGCCCCGGCCTAGGAAAACTGGGGTCCTTTGCCCAGCCTTGAATGGGGGAGCCCTGTATCATTTATACGTCTGCATTCCCTTAATGAGACCATCAGGTGGTTGTGGGGTAGAGAATGCATCTATTGGTCATTGCATAGCATGATGTCTAGAAATGATATTCTTCCAAATCCAAATGTATGTGGAACAAAGATGTGCTCTAAGAGATTTATACTTAGTTACTTTGGGGCAGCTTATTAGAAATCGCCTTTTTTTTTTTTTAAATTTCTATTGAAGTGAAATGCATATAACATAAAATTAATGTTTAATTCCCAGACATTAGTATACTTTATACATTAACTGTTATGCAATCACTGTCTATCTAGTTCCTAAACATCTTCATCACCTCAAAAGACTCTCCACTGAGCATTTCCTCCTCAGCCTGCAGTCCCCTCACCCCAGCACACTGCTGCCCCAGCTCTTGGCAACCATAAGTCTGAGTTGCCTGTCTGTAGATTCATTTATTCTGGATATTTCATATAAGTGGAATCATAGTATGAGTGACCTTTTGGGCCTGCTTTTTCTACTTAGTGGAATGTGTGCAGGCATCATCTGCGTTGCAGCATGTGTTAATTACTATGTCATTTCTCTTTATGGTTGTGTGATCGTCCCTTGTGCGTGGATGCCAGCCTCACCCACTTCCCTTGTGACTACTGTAAGTAGTGCTGCTGTGAACATGCCTTTTTACATGTGCTTGAGTGTCAGTTTCCAGTTCTTTTGGGTAAAGAACTACGAGTGGAATTGATGGGTCGTGAGGTAAATTCTATGTTTAACTTTTTGAGGAAATGTCAAACTGTTTTCCACAGTTTCTGTATCATTTTCTATGTCTACCAACATTGTACACATCTCTCATTTCTCTCCAGTCTTGCCAACACATTACTCTCTCTGTGTGTGAATTTAAGCAGCCGGCATAGTGGTTTGATGTGCATTTCCCTCACGACAGGCCATACTGAGCATCATTGGTATACGTGCAGCATACCTCCTTTGGAGAAATGTTTAGTCAAGTCTCTCGCCTGTTTTTAAACTGGGCTCTTTGTCTTTTTATTGAGTCATGAGCATTCATTGTACATTCTGGATATAAGTTCCTTATTAGATATATGATTTGCAAAAATATTTTTTCTATTCTATAAGCTGTCTTTTCAGTTCTTTGGTGCATAATAGTTTTTAATTTTGATAAAGTTAGTTTATTTTTTATTTTATTACTTGTGCTTTTGATGTCATATCTAAGAATCTGTTGACAAATGTAATGTCACAAAGGTTTACTCGTGTTTTCTTAATTTGACTTAATTTTTGTATAATATGTGAATTAGCGGTCTAGGTTCATTCTCCTTGCCTATTTGAGGTGGATGGAATTTTGATAGGATCTGTAGTTCACTTTTATTATTATTGTAATTTTAACAATAATATTTTCCATTTCATGCCTTTATTTAGGTCATTTTGGTTCCATTATTTAGGTATCGTATAGTTTCTTTCAATAATATTTTGTAATTTCATTTACTCTGTTAGTTAAATTTATTTTATTCTTTTTGATGCTATGTGAATGGAGTTAAGTTTCTTACTGTTCATTGCTGATGTATAGAAATACAATTGACTTTTATTTGTTGATATGATTGAAACTTTACTGAGTTCTTGTAATTTTTTGTGGGATCTTTGGAATTTTCTATATATTGGATCATGTCATTTGTGAATTGACATAGTTTTATTTCTTGATTTGAATGCCTTCCTGCCTGCCTTTTCCTTTTTTCTGTTCCTTTTCCTTTCCCGATTGTTCTGGCTAGAACTTCTGGTGCACTGTTGAGTAGGGGTGGGTAAACCAGGTATCATTATTCTTTTTTTTTTTTAATTATTTTTATTAAATCATAACTTTGTACATTGATTCATTTATGGGGTTCAGTGTACTGCTTTGATACACAATGTGAAATGCTTACATTGAACTAAGTAACACATCTATCACAATTATACTCATTTCTTAATAGTTTTGAAATGTGCCATTGCATCGTGCACATTAGGTGAGGCCCCCCCCCCCAAATACTCTCCCTTGTCTCATATCCCCCCTCCCCTGTCTCTCCTCTTCCCTTCTACTTTATGGACTATAGTTATGTTTTGCCATTCATATGAGTGTGTAGGTGATTATATATTGATTTCATAGTAGTACTGAGGATACTGGATACATTTTTTTCCATTCTTGAGATACTTTACTAAGAGGAATATGTTCCAGCTCCATCCAGGTAAACATAAAAGATGTGAAGTCTCCATCTTTTTTATGGCTGCTTAGTATTCCATGGTATACATATAGCACAATTTGTTAATCCATTCATGGGTTGATGGGCACTTGGGCAGTTTCCATGTCTTGGCTATTATGAATTGGGCTGCAGTAAACATTCTGGTGCATATGTCTTTGTTGTAAAATAACTTTTGATCATCTAGATATATACCTAGTAGAGAAATTGCAGGATCGATAAAATGATGGCTAGGTGCCACGAAGTAGGTGGCAATGCCTTAACCATATATGTGTTGTCAGGCCCGAGGGCCTCTTCCATCCTTGTCTAGGGAAGTGCTAACCTTCTCTCTTTTCATACAACAGGGTATCATTATTCTTAACTCTTTTTTCTTTTCTTTCTTTTGTAGAGACAGTTTTACTCTATCACCTTCAGTAGAGTGCCGTGGCATCACACAGCTCACAGCAACCTCCAACTCCTGGGCCTAGGCCATTCTCCTGCCTCAGCCTCCTGAGTAGCTGGGACTACAGGCGCCCACCACAATGCCCAGCTATTTTTAGAGACAGGGTCTCTCTCTTGCCCAGGCTGGTCTCGAACTTGTGAGCTCAAGCATTCCACCTTGTTCTTATTCTTAATGTTAGGGGAATGCCTTGAATCTTCACCATTGAGTAAGATGTGAGCTGTGGGTTCTTTCATCCCACTAAGTCAGAGTTATCAAAGCATGCTCCATAGTCAGGAGCATCTGTACCACTTGGGGAGCTCATCAGAAGTGCTGATTCTTGGGCCCCAGTCCAGCATGGTTGGCCCAGCAACCTGCATTTTAAGAAGCCTCTCTTGCTTCTGATGTGTTCTCAAGGGGCACAGTGTTTGGGAGCCCTTGCAGTAGAGTTCAGGCTTCTTTGAGGTTAGGGTCTGTGCTTTATTTTCTCTGTTTTCCTTTTAGTTCTCTCATGGAATTAATCAGTGTTGAATAATTAGGAAAAAAATTTCAAGGTTGACCAACATACCTACATGCCATCTCTTAGTTTGTGTAAAGAGTCTTGAGTCACTATGAGTAATTGCAGATTTATCTTAGACATTTATGAGATTCATTAGAAGACCTCACATTTTTGTGTTCAGTCTTAGACCTATGGCAGACAGCTTAAGTATATTTTTATTTAGACCATTTGTTCTAATAATTAGTTTTGCCATTCTTGTTGGCTTGCCTACTAGCTATGGCCTTATCTTTACTGTTACTTCTGCCAGCAAGAGTTGCTCTTCTTTAGCTATTTAGACTTGAGAGTTATTTTTATAGTATATGCTGGATTTATCACATCATTATTTTACCTTTGCTTTATTTTCTTACTGATAGTATTTTTTTTTTTTTTGAGACAGAGTCTCACTATGTCACCCCCAGTAGAGTGCTGTCACATCACAGCTCACAGCAACCTCAAACTCTTGGGCTTAAGCAGTCCTCTTGTGGGAGCCAAACTAATTAACTCAAGTCACAAGTCAAGCTACCTCCTTTTGTTGTTTATTCAGGATAATAGGCCGCCACATACCAAGGACCTTATCATACCTAGGTGTTACAGCCCACATCCTGACCTCCTCCCCTTCGTCCCACTAGCCCCCTTGTGCACTCAGCCCACATCCTGACCCCCTCCCCTTTCTGCACTTGCCACTCTACTCTGCACTCACCCCACTTGCGACCCCCTCCCCTTTTTGCACTCATCACTCTATTCTGCACTCGCTCCACTTGTAACCTTTATCCCTTCCTTCTCATTCGCTCACTTGAGACAAAGAAGTCTCGTCCCTGAGCCAATCAACCCTGAACACGACTACCCTGTACCTGTCAGTTTAGGACAGACATGGTTTACCTACCAATAAGGGGATGGGGTGGGATGGTCTAATGGGAGGGAAGAGAGAGAGGTATAAAGGGACCTTCTAAATAGTCTGTAAGGGCTGTTCCTGCTTTTTCGTAAAGGGCAGCCCAGGCTCTGAGCTTGAATGAATAAAATTCCTCCTGCCTTTGCAGCGATGTTCGGATTCTCAGAGTGGTGTTTGAATTGAGTCTGGGGGTTAACACTCTTACCTCAGCCTCCCAACTAGCTGGAACTACAAGCACCCACCACAACGCCCAGCTATTTTTTTGTTGCATTTGTTGTTATTGGTTAGCTGGCCCAGGCCGGGTTTGAACCCAACAACTTCTGTGTATGTGGCTCCATAACTACTGTGCTATGGGAGCTGAGCCAATAGTTTTCTTTTATGTTGCTATGATGTGATCCCAGCCCATTTACATCCTTTCTGAACAAGATGTTATTTAAATTACTAAGATAAAAATGTAATCTGCTGCTGCTAAGGTCTGTTGTTGACAGGTAAGAACCAGTTTATAGACAGACACAATAATAATTTCTGTTTATTTACTACCTATTTACCAGTTAGGGGTGCTCAGCTTATAAAAATAACATTTAAAATGTCTAAAGTTATAGTATAACTATTTATAGCTATTCTAAGACTTGTTTAAATGATGATCTATGCCTTGGATTCTCAGTGTCAACCACTTTCAGATTTCTAAACCTCATTTGTATGTTAACCTGGTCAGTCTAGTTCATCTGCTCCCAAGTGGGTGAATATTCTACAGAGGCTGCTTGGATGTCTTAGCTCTGGGGATCCCTGTGGTAGGGAGGGGCAGAGAGCGAGGTGCAGTGGTCCTCCAGCCTTGGGAGGCTCCAGCTCTCCTTGAACCTGTGTGGTCCTAAAAACACAGTGTTACTGGCTTTCCTTCTGTGCCCCTTGGATGTGAGAAGAAAGTCAATGAATTGTTGCATTAATTACTATTGTTTATATAGGTAAGCTACTCCTTGGCCTTTCTGGTTTAAGATTTGCTATAAGTAAATGAAAAATCAATTCATTAACAAATTTAAGCAGAATTTTAAGATGTTAGGTTTTGTATTTGCACATTGTATTTAAATTTCTTAATGACTGTAAATGGTCTTAGTTCTTGTTTCATTGCATAGTTTGTTCAATGAAAATAAGGAACTCTTGACTGTTAAAGTCACAGCTACTCTTGAAATCAAGACCTTGAAGAAAACATTTTCTAGCTGTAAATCACATTTCCCAAGGCAATTTTTTTTCATGGATTTTCATTGCTCTTAGCTTTCTAGTTGTAGCTGTAGAAATTGTGCATGTGACGTTTTCCTTCCATCTCTAAAAGAGTTTATGTGTCTCTAGATGAACTTTTTAATTAGTTTCTACAGAAACCAGTTTTTTAAAGAAAAACTCAGGCCCCCGAATTCACAGTATTTTTGAGGGATATGGTTGTGTGCTTTTGTTTTCAATTTATTCTGTCTGTGTATATACATCTTCATAGACTTACCTATATGTAATGACTGGATTTAATTAAAGGGAGTTCCAGATACCATAAGAGAAAGTTTAATAGTTGAATGATTTTTCAATATAGTCAAGGAGGAAGTTGGTTTGTTAGGAAGATTGTATGGCTTTTTTTTTTTTTTTTTTTTAATGAGCCATTGTTGGTGGCTTGAACAAGAAGAAAACCTTATTCTACCATATTCTCAGGGTGTAACCTTTAAATCTTAATTTGTCATGAGTGTCATTAAAGAAATCAAAGGGAACCTAGTTCTAAAAGTTTAGGAAGAGAATTTATGTTTTAATTAAGGAAGGATTGGAGCAATGTCGGGACATTTTCAAACACAAACTGCTGAGCAGAGATAGTATACTAAACTCACTGGGGAATCAGTGTTTCAGGAAACAATACTTTTTTTCATACTACCATTGTGAATGAGATTTTATTTTGCTAAGCTTTAAACTCCTGAATGCCTGTATGAGGCTTACTCTGGAAATGGGAGGAAGCGTGGGGTTCTAAGGCAAAGCTGAGTTTGGAAGCCATACTGTATGTCTTGAAATGTCCTTTGAAATGGTTTTGATGACCGTGACAAAAGGAAGGGGAAATAAGCATGTTAGAGTTATTTGGCTACTCTTGAAATCAAGACCTTGAAGAAAACATTTTCTAGCTGTAAATCACATACTTGCCCAGCATTCTTTAAAGCATTTTACACAAATGACTTTAACAGTTTTAGGGTCATGTCTGGGGTTAAGAGACTGTTTTCAGAGACATTTTAGTGATTAAAAAGCAATATTTTATTGAGGTGCTAGTACTTCTGTTCACACTCTGTACTGTGAAACATTCTATTTTTACCTAATGAGAAAAGATTGCCCCTTAAGCCATGTACTCATTGATTTTATGTGTTATGGAGATAACAACTTAATATGAAACAACTTAAAGTTACATAAAAGGAAAAAAAAACAACAAAAAGCTAAGAACAAAACTATAAAAATTTTTACAAAGAATAATTATGTTTGGTAACATTTTGATGAGGGAATATTACACCATGCATTGTTCTAAGTACTTTTACATGTGTTACCAAATTTAACCTTTAAAAATTGACACACAGACACACCGCTGCCCCCACTCTGCTGCACAGAGCCAGAGTCTACCTCTGGGTCTCACAGATGGTGCTCAGGGTGGGGCTAAAATCTTTGTCCATGATTTCTCTGTGAGTCACTTCAAATGAGAATATTAGGTAAATGCCCCCACTGTCTTGATGGCTGTGATAAAAATGCATAGCTAACAAGAAAGGCAGATCTGGAAACCAGTGCCTTCAGTGGTTTGTGGATGTATTAATTTAAATTATACATAAAAATAAAATTGGGTCAGTCGTTTTAATGCCATTCTCTTTTTTTGTTTTAAATTATTGCCAATGTATTAGCACACAAGATACTGCTGTGGTTGTGAGATGATCAGTCAGTTCAGTGACTTGGTTGTTGTCCAGAAGCTGCAGTGAACTTGGCTCATTTGGGATGCTGCGTGAATGTTCTATGTCTTTTCTGCCCTGCTCCCATCATTTTCCCCTACACTTGCAGACCTTGTTCACAGGCATGCCAGTGTCCCTGTCCCTCTTCCCACCACGGGGCTCCTGTGAAGTACTCACAGCACTATCAGGACGTGCATTGAAAGGTGCATTGTGCTCGCATGCAAATGCAGCACTGGGTGGCAGAGTCTGCCTTCTTCTGCCTTCTTCTGCCAAAGGAAGTGTTGTATTTCTTTTGCTTTTTGTTCCAGCTGAGCAATTTTCATTGCTGGCAGCACAGCACACTTTAGGAGAAAGCAAATAAACAACATAGACTCTTGGAGCCGGGAAGTCGCATCTCACACTAGAAACTCTTAGCTTTGGTTTGCTATGTGGGAGGTGGGTTTCTGAAGGGACACTAAAACTAGTCCCTAGAAGGTTCTTGCACTTCTAGGGAAACCATTTAATGTGAGCTCTTTGGGAGGGCATCAGAAGTTGATTTTGATATTATGACAGTTTTTTTATAATTAAATATTAGCTCCAAATTATGTCTCAGGTAACTTAGTGCTAACCTCACAACTCATTGTTTGTCTTAGACATGTAATGAACATTCATTGAACTTAATGTTTTAAAATTAACCTCTTATTAACTTATGCTTTACTTTGAAATAATCTGAGTAAATTTGACATGCGTATTCCTTCTTTAAAAATATCTATTTTTTCCCCCTCTGTCTTACAAAAGACAAAATAAATCTAGTTAGAGTACTTTAAAGGTTTCTTCTACTTCAAATTAATGACATGGTACAGTAATGTATTGGAATAATAATATAACTGAAAATTATAAACCCCAAATCTATAGCTGCATTTTAAACCAGAATAAACACAGTTCAAAGTTGATTTGTTTAAACATTTATCAAGAATACAGTCTTTTAAAGGTAACAACTAAAAAAATAAAAGAAACCTATTTGCCCTTTTAAACTACTCTTAACTGAACAGTCTTGGTTTCTAGAACTCAAAGCTTAGGAATCATTAAATATTTATAAAGATGTTTTAATTTGGAATTTTTTTGCTTGTTTATTTTTTGTTGGTTTTCCTCAAGTTGTACAGCTGGAGAATTCCTTTTCATGGCTTCAGGTTCAGCTTTAAGGCAGTATATACCAATTCTTACAGAGAAAATCATCAAACTGGTTAATTACCTTCAGTTTTGATAGTATGTATGAAATATTAACGATTATTTTGAATGATGTATGTTTCCTCAACTTTTAATATCTTACTCTTATCTCTTCTAGGACCTGCTGAAGTGCCCATGATGTCACCCAATGGGTCCATCCCTCCCATCCATGTGCCTCCAGGCTACATCTCCCAGGTAAGCCATTGGATGGCCTTTTCCACTCACTATAGACATGATCCATATTTCAACAGAATATACATTAGGGTTTCAGATGCTTATTCCAGAGTTAATTTTGTTAAAATAATGTGAGAGTTGCTGTCACTTTTGTGGCATCACGTAGCATTTCCTGTGTCTTGCCACTTGACCCTCCAGAGGATCAGAGAAGGGGAAGCATAGAAGGTACCAGTCTGTCCTCTGCCACACCAGGCTTCATACATGATCATGGGTTGTGACTCCTTCGAGGAGTCTCCTGCTTTCAAGATTTCCTTCCTTATATACTGATGGTCTCCAATCTTTTTGGCACCAGGGACCAGTTTCATGGAGGACAGTTTTTCCATGGACCAGGAATTAGAAGGTTGGGAGGATGTTTTAGGATGGTTCAAGCACATTATATTTATTGTGCATTTTTATTTCTATTTTATTACATTGTAACATATGTGTATGATGAAATAATCACAGAACTCACCATGCAGAATCATTGGGAGCCCAGAGCTTCCTTTCCTTTAGGAGATGGTCCCAGTGCTGGCATCACTGCCTCAGCTCCATCTCAGACATTAGATACTCATGGTAGCCACAACCACAACCTGGATCCCTCAGGTGCAGTTTACAGCAGGCCTTCTGCTCCCATGAAAATTGAATGCCCACCTTGATTAGTCAAAATATCAAAGGCAGTATTGTTTACATAAATAGGGTCTGCCCTCCTTTATAGCAGTCCATTTCTTCATCATGTGGCACACCCGGGGCTTGGTGAGTTCCTATCCTAAGTGCAGCGTGAAAGCTTGACTGTTTATACCTGTGTACTTAACGTTTCTCTGAACTTTGGTTTTCTCTTAAATAAACTGATGATAGTAGCAATTTCAAAGGTGTTTTCAAAAGGTAAAAAGTTTTAAAGTATAAAGTTATATTCCTGTACTTCAATGAGATAGAAAATTTTTTAAGTACCTGGGGTATAGAGTGTCCCAAAAGTTGCCCATAAAGTCACCATACACAGGCAGAATGGGAGATTGTACTTAGATGCACCTTTCTTTACAGAATATTTATTATAATATTTTATAAGAGGTGGCCAACATGCAGAGAATATTTTGTAAAATTTTGTAATAAATACTTTGTGAGGAAAGGCACAGCTAGCTACAATCTATTTATGTATGGTGCATTTATGGGCAACTCTGGGACATCCTGTGCAGTGGATGTCTCTGTATGTCTGGCTCTGTCCTGGCCGAGCACAGTATGCAGCTCTTTGTTTTTCCTGCATGCC